CACCTGCCCGCCCCAACCCCGCGGCTGCGGAGCCCGCAGCGCCTCCCTGCGCCTCCCTCTCGCTGCTCACAGGCCTCCCGCGCCGCGCCGGGGGCGGGCGGAGCGCGGACCCTTAGCTCGGAGCCCAGGGCTCCGCAGGACTTGAACGCCAAATCCCAGACTCTTGGGAGAGTGCCCAGGGCTTCCACAGGAACCTCAAGGGGTTAAGCGCGCCGTCCTTCAGAAGGAAACCCCAGAAACTTGACATCCTCTCCGGGGAAGCTCGTGGGAGGGCCTGAGCGCCGGCCTCACCTGCCCCATCTCTTCAGGTGCGGGAAGCAGAAGGACGTCGTGATAGGGTCCAGACCCATCTCTCCTTCCCAGCGCCGGGAGCGGCGGGGAGGGAAGTCACCTGGAGAAGTCCCAGGGAGGGATTCTGGAGGAATCCTCTAGGACAAAAAATAAGAAAAGGAGAAGGAGGAAGGGAAGGAAAGGAAGCGGAGGAGGAGGGGAAGGGGGAAGAGAAGGGGAGAAGGAGAGGGGGAAGGAGAGAGGGAGGGAGGAGCAAGAGTGGAAATATAAGCGTCTGGGACAGTTCCCTCTGGCGAACCCTTCGCTCAGGGCGTAGGGTTGCCCATGCTCCAGGCTGGTTGTCATTCCAAGACCTACACTGATAACTCGGGCTGTCCCTTCCACAGCCACAGGCTGCTGGGTTCTTCATGCCCTGCCCTGGCCCCTAGAGACAGAGCAGTAAGGCCCTACAGTGTTACCTCCGCCCAGAGGTTCTGGTGGCAGGAGCCACGATACCACGCTCACTTGCCATCCCGGGTGAGGAGGGCAGGAACAGCTGAGGACGGGTTCTGTTTCTCACAAGACAGCTTGGTGGGAGGTGGGAGTAACCATCTTCTCTTGAGGAGGCTGGTCCTGTCTCAGAGACAGGCAGGCGTCTGCTCCACCTGTCACACCCTGTATTGCAAGCACCAGGGGACACCTCCAGGTCCCTCCAGGCGATGACAAGGACTCGCTGAACGGTGGTAAGGGTAGGCCTGCACAGCGCTTGTAAGAAAGTAAAAAGTTATCCTCTGGAAAAAGAGACCATTATCACACTTTTGAGTTCTCTTTGCTACTGTCACAGAATTCCAGAGCCATAGAAGCTCAAAGAGGGGAGAACAACCTCCAGTGGACTCCCCTTTCTCTTTTCTGTAATTGCTCTGAAATGCTTGCCAGTTCTGCTTTTGGCTGACACCTCAGACCCTTGCTTGCCCTTTGTGGGGAACCTGCTTCAATGTGGTCAGCTCTGGCGGGAGGAAGGGCCCTGTGCTAGACAAATGTTTCTCCCTATAACTGCTCCCCGAGGCCTACACAGCACACATCTACTGCTCTGCACATAGGAGATTCTTCACAGGCATGATGACCTCGCCCCAGTGTCTCCTTCTCCAGCTGGAACATCAGAAATTCTGTCAGAATTTTGCAGGGTGTCCCCCAGGTACATCATGCTACTGGCTCATTTTCTCTGCCACAGTGACCTGGGTCCAGGGAGTCAGTCCACAGTGTCTAGGGTGGTAGAAGCATTTATAGTTTAATCTGGGTGGTGGTTACTGTTGGGACTCAGAGAATAATACCCCTAACGTACTGCGTTTTTTTCTTGGTATGCTGAGCAATTTGATGTAATGCAAATTAAAAAGCCTTAAAAGCAAGTTTTGAGTCAAGCTTCCTGCAACCTTTCTCGCATTTATTTATTTAGGGGACTTGAACCTAGGCCCTCATACACTGAGCTGCATGCCATTGAGCTCTCCCTGCAGCCTTTCTTGCCTGCTTCCCTCAAGCAGAGACACTGGGCTCTGTGAAATTCCTTTAACAGTATTAGGGCCAGACTGCAAAGGGGAACTCAGTGGCCTTCCATCCTTACCCTGAAATCTCATCATCTGTCTCAGAAAAGGAGACTGAGGGATGTCACACTTGTAGACGGACTTCCATGACAAGATAATGTCATTCAAACTCCAAGAGATTGTCTCTAGGGCCATCTGTTTCCCTAATGAGCATTTACAAGCCCTCAGAATGGTCTAAAACAGTCTGCATGCTCCATTATCCTCCTCCCCTGTACCAGTTTCTTTTTTTAAAATTTTTAAAATTTTTTATTTTATTTTTATTTTTTTTTCCAGTACTGGGAATCAAACTCACAACCTTGCGCCTGTACCAGTTTCTGAGTAACATTAATCATGCGGGTGATCATACTCCTGCGATTTTCCCCATGCTGTGGTTTCCCCCTTTTCACATTAGTAAATGTATACATTTTTCTCCCATTTAGTTTTTTCAGTACTGGGAATTGAACCTAGGACTATTGAGCTACATCCCCACGCCTTTTACAACAATTTGAGACAGTCTCACTGAATTGCCCAGGCTGATGTCGAACTCATGATCCTCCTACCTTAATCTCCTGAATAGCTAGGATCACACATGTGTGCCATCAGACCCAGCTTCCTATTTAATCCTTGCCAATGTATTCCAGCAAACTTTCAGAGGACAGGGGGAAATCTGCTCTCATCCCTACATTAACCACATATAAACATATGTAAAAATGTACTAGTCTGTACACTTCAGACTTCTGCATTTTATTGTAAATTATCTTGAAATAAAGAAGAAAAAAATAAAAGCAAAAATGATGTGAGGTGCTGCACTGTGACTGCAATACGCAAGAGAAGCAGGTAAGAAATCCAGCACAAGAACGAGGGGTATTCAGTAATAGGGAAAGTTTGAGAGCCCAGGGAGGGAAGCGTTGGGTTCAACCTGGGAAGGGCGAAAGGAGGAAGTGACATAGAACTGGACCTGGGAGAGAGCATGGGAAAAAGTCTTACATATCCTCTCTCTGTCTTCTATTTCCCAGCATCACACATTGTCCACCTCTTTTTGATCAATTTAAAACCCAAAACTATAAAAGCAAAGTAACTTTATTTGGGAGTCCAAGAATTGCAATTTGCGAAAGCACATTATCAGGCATCTCTGAAAGTGGGCTCCAAAGAAGCTCGCATTGTGCAGGACTCATGGGGAAGGGGACACCACCGAGGACAAAAGAAGTCCCACTAGTTACATGAAGGAAAGGCGAGCGGGGAAGGGGTGCTGTCCCCATCGAGGCTGCATACATCCCTGGGCTATTCATGATTGATCGCTGGGCTCTAGGTGTAAAGTTCAGTTGTGGTTTGTAAAGCTTATTACAGCTGCTGCCTCCAGTAAAAGGTGTTAATAGTTTTGCAGGCCTTGATCCTGTTCAAAGGTTCATATTCCTGTGTTATTTCTGGAGCTGGTTTAAGAATTCACTTTCCCAGACAGCAGGATGCATAGGCTCTGGTCTCCTAAGAACTGTCAACTCCATTTTATTTTATTTTATTTATTTAATTTTTTTGAGACAGGGTCTTGCTATGTAGTTCAGGCTAGCTTTGAACTCACTATGTAGCTCAAGCAGGCCTTGAACTCGCTGACTCCATTTAAAAATACTCTTCAAAAGTTACTTTTTATTCTATTTACTTTTTATTTCACACTCTTCTGGGAACCTTCCCCAGGTAAATTTTTTCTAAACCCAGGGGCCAGAGAGACCCTGATCTGCTTCTTCATCCCACACGGCCTTGGCAAGTCAGCTCTCATAGTCTGCCAGCTACACCTTGACTTCCTGAGAACCAGGACAGCATTCATCGCTGTTCTAGCTCCCACACCTCCCCACCGCCTCACACCACAGAACTAGCCCAACCAAGAGCAAATCCTGGGTAAATAGCCAGTGAACAGAGATTATTTGCACAGAACCTTTACAATTACTTCTGGTTTTACATTTACATATCTTATCTCCCAATTAAAACAAGCTCCCCAAGGGCAGAGGCTGTCCTAGTTTTCCTTCCTGCTGTGCTTTCAAATGTCTATTCTTGGGGCTAGTGCTGTAGCTCAGTGGGAGAGGGCTTGTGGGGCATGCCCAGGGCCCTGGGTCCTTAGCTGGGCACTTTGTGCTCGTTCCTAAATAAGAGACAGAACTTGGAATGGGGGCTGGTGATGTGGTTCAGTAGTATAGCACCCACTTAACATGTACAAGGCCCTGGGTCCCACCCCCAGCACTGTAAAAACAAAACAAAGCAGAACAACTTTGGCTGCTCCTTTAAATATTCTCTGATTTCCCTCTTTTAAATAGGAAGGGGCTTGTTCCCATCTCTCACAAGCTCTGGAAAGCAATCTGAGGCCCCCAAAGGTGGAACAGCCAAATCCTGGGAGGAAAGGATCTGAGGAATGGAGGGGTTCTCTATCCTCTGGCAGCATGTCCCGGAGCTCTGTATCTGTCTATGGCCCCCTTCCAAGGCCAAGACCGTTCACTGCTGGGTACCCGGATTTCTGGCTCCTTACTGAGGAGCTGCACTAGCCGGAAATCCTGAGCTTACGTATGGAAGTTGATAAGGAATAGCTGAATGGCTGATCTCGCACTCTCTGTAGGTAATCCACATGCCAGAAATGCACACATGCATCACAGTGGCAGAAATTCCTTAATGTACAAAAACAGGCTGTGCATTATGTTTCTCCTATTGTTTCTGTTAGACTCGAAAATGTTAAAAAAAAATGTACAAAGAGAACAGATCTGATTGTCACTAGCCTAGAGGGGAGGCCCTGGGTCGTGGGCTTGTTATCTTGGTTGGCAGCATCCTTTCAGAGACCACAGACTGCCTCCTGTCCCCTGGGTGCTGTGGTCTCCGTGCCTGTACTCTCAGAAGGCCAGGCAGGAGCAGGAGAGTGGCATTTCCAGTTCAAGGTCATCAAGCACATCCTGCAGTTTCTCAGGTCATTCTGGGACATGACATGAGGTCATCCCTCCCCC